CGCCTCGGTTGGTGGCACCTCCACCACGTCGTCGTCGCTCTCCTCGTTCTCTCCCCCTCCATTTTCGGCTTCCTTTTCCACTTGTGATGGAACCTCCACCGCTTCATCCTCCTCTCGTGCGGGAAGGACGACGGTGAGTTGTGGCATTGGTTGTTCCTTCGTCGGGAACTTGTCTTCGTCGAAGACCACATCCCGAGACGTGACGACGCGCTTGTCGCTCAAGTCCCACACTCGCCATGCACGCTCGTTCGCCGCAATTCCCAAGTAGATTGCCGCACGAGCCTTCGGTTGCAACTTGTGACGAAGGGGATCCGGGACATGGTAGTAGCAAAGGCACCAAAAGGTGCGAAGGTGGGATAGGTTCGGCTTCGTTCCGGTCCATGCTTCGAACGGAGTCGTTCCCGGGAGCACCTTCGTCGGCAAACGGTTGCGAATCCACGCCGCTAGCGCACTCGCCTCTCCCCACCACTCGTGCCCAAGCTTGGAGTGTTGAAGTAGTGAACGAACGGCTTCCACCAACATGCGATTAAGCCGCTCCGCCGCTCCATTTTGTTGGGGTGTGTAGGGTGTTGTGACGTCGTGTTTGATGCCTTTGCTCTTCATCCATTTCGCAAGCTCGTTGTTCACGAATTCGCCGCCACCGTCGGTACGAATACACTTGATCCGCTTCTTGTCGTCGTCGCAAACATCGAGCGCCCACCCTTGAATCACCTTGGCCGCATCTCCCTTAGCCTTCGTGGCGTCACGTCATCGAGCATCACCAAGAAAAAACGGCGCTCCTCCCTTTGATGCATGTCGCATCGGTCCACACACGTCCATGTGAACAAGTGCAAGCGGGTCCTTAGCGAGGGGTGATGTTTGGCTACCAAATGGCTTGCGAGCCATTTTTCCTTCGACACACGCCGCACACACGCCCTTCTCGTCGTCGCCGGCGATCACGTCTACTCCCTTCGCAAGTCCTTTGTTGGCCAACTCCTTGACCGAGTCGTAATTGGCGTGCGCGAGCCGATTATGCCACGCCTTGAGAGTCGCCTTGGAGCCTTGCGCCACGTTGGATGAAGCCGCTCTCGGGTACATCTTGAGTTGGTAGATATCTCCATTGAGAACACCTTGCGCGAATTGCTCCCCCTTCCAAAAAAGGTTCATCTTCGCACCGTCGATCGTGGCGATCACCCCCTTCTTCGCAAGTTGCGGGACGGATAGAAGGTTCACCTTCACCCCCGGGACGTGAAGCACGTTCGTGACGTCCACCGGTCCGCTATCGACGATGAGGTGCGTACTCCCAACTCCAACCGCCGGTAGCGATTCGTTGTTTCCGAACACGATGCTCGTGACGTCTCCCGGAGCGCCAATGTTGTTGAGGAGCGACGACGAGTGCGTCATGTGTTGCGTTGCGCCGGTATCGAGGAACCACGCATCGCTTGGAGTTTTGTTCCCGTTGCCGGCCACTAACACGAGCGACTCGTTTGAATCATCGGCCTCGCCGGATGCCGTGTGCGCGTTGCCCTCTTGGTCCCGCGCCATCGATGGAGTCCAATCGCTCGGCCGCTTTCGACACTCACGCCAAAAGTGTCCCGGTTTGCGGCAATAGTGACACTTGCCGCGATGCTCGCTCCCACCGGACGATTCCTTCGTTGCGCCCTTGCTCCACTTGGACTTCTTTTCGGAACTCCCTCCGGAGTACATGGCGGTCCCCTCGCTCTCATGCGCGAATTGTCGCCGACGCGATTCTTCATGGAGAAGTCGACCGACCACCATTTCCTTTGTCCAAATGTCTTGCACGCTATCGAGTGTCGTAATCACCGTCGACCACTCTTCCGGAAGGCCGCAAAGCAAGGTCAAAATCCAATCCTCCTCTGTGACCATTCCACCGAGGTCCATGAACATTTCCCCGAGTTCCTCCACACGAGTCGCATACTCGTGCATCGATTCGCCCGCGCGCATCTTCACCGTGTAGAATGCATTCCGGGCTAGGATCTTGCCGTGGAGAGTCTTGTTCACGTGCATCGTCTCGAGCCGCTTCCATGCTTCACGCGCCGATGCTTCAAGCTTGATGCACGTGCGCACCGAACTCACGAGGTTGATGCCGATGCGCGAAATCAACGTTGCGAACGCCTTTTGGTCCTTCTTCTTCCATGCCGCGATCTCGTCCTCGTTGACCGGCTTTTTCTCCGTTCCGTCGAAGAGACCCCAAAGTCCCCGCTCCATCATGAGCACTTGGAACTTAAATTTCCACGCGGAGTAGTTTTGTCCCGTGAAAATCGGAACCGCCGACGTATCGAACACCGTCGCGTTTGTCCAGGGTTCGCCGGGATTTGAGCCGACACCATCCAAGGAAGTGCTGGAGGCCTCGCTTGAAGTCGGCAAGCTTCCTTCTCGTCGCGCGCGTAGACTCCTCCGACCAGCTCTGATACCACTGTTGTAGAGGACTCTCCTCTAGTTGGCAGGAACTGGGAGTTGTTCTAAACGATAGAGCTCTGTCTTAGCTTTCCAACGAGCCGTAGATTGCTTCGTTCGCCTAAGAAACGAGCGAGCTATAGATGGAAACGTGAAGACTATGCTCTATGTTGAAGGATAGGAATCTCTCCGGAATTTCTGGTTCGAATGTACCACGTACAAAGAACTCTGGTTTTCACTATGAAGCATGCAATACAAAGCAACTAGTTTTATAGCATGCAATCAACATCGAACCGTGTTCGTAACATCGCATCTCTACACTTCGCGAATGTTCTCGTAACATTTCGAAGGGGTGAAATTCGACACTCGAATTTCACCGAATCGAATTCTCCTTGAGTCTCGAATGTTCCTGTGCAAGTCCTCCGAAGTCAACCAGCTCCTTCGCGAAACCTGCAGCGAAGTCAATCTCCTTGGAACACTTGAGAAGCACCGTTCGGTGGTTGGGGGCAAACCTCCCCCCCCACGCAACCTGCAACACTCCTGACGCGCTTCACCTCGCGTCTGGCGTAGCGCGGCGTTTTCCGCCTTCAGGCGCTCCATCTCTGCAGACATGGTCTGCAAGTTGGCTTGCATCGCCCGAAACTGTTGCATGAACTCGTTGAAATCTGCCTGTTCCATGTTTCGCAGGCTTCTCCTAAGGGGCAGCGGGTTAACAACGATTTTTATGACTTTGATGAAGGCGCAAACGCTATTAGTCGGAGCGAGATAATCGTATCTATCTCTCAGTCGACCACTTTGCAGCCCACCAAGTCTATTGCACCCCTGCACTAAACTACCCCGAAAAGTAGAGGGTAACCTAGGAAAGTAGGCTCTGATACCAAGTGTTATGAGTTGTGAAAGGAAAGAGTGCGCATAATTCAATAACGCGGAAGTGATTACAACTACTGAGCAAGCAACGAGGCCTAGGCATAATATAGCAAAGCTAGCTAGGCCGAGGTCGCGGATTCGCGCGAAGGTTGGGTGCAGGTTTTGGGTTGGGAAACCCGAAGGCGACGCGGGGGACGTTCGGAAGGCGAGGTCGACGGACCGAGCCTGAAGTCCAAAAGTTGGAATTGTACGCGTAGAGGCTGCCTCAGTAAGGAATTAGCAAAATTCCTTGCAAGTGGGCTAACTTAGGTAATTTACGTACCCGTTGGTTGGTGGCAGCAGGGACTGGTGGAGGGCAAATTGCTTTGACTGGGAATTCGAACAGGGAGGACCGCTGGGTCTCGATTGGTCAATCATGCTCCGTGGTTCAGGAGGACGACTCAGGATGATGCAGGTTTCAGGGGATTTGACAAACAGGCACTTGTGCATCGAGTAACCGCCACCGCTTGTATTGGTTGAACCATGCTTTTTTCCGGGTAATTACCTTCCGGGTAACCAACATCGAGCCCGCTGACGTACGCAGTCCGCCACGTGGCTCGATGGTACCCATCAGATTGACCGATCTCCCCTGTGGTACCCGTCATTTCCCCGGTGGTACACATTATCCCTCCGTGGTACCTATCAACTCTCCACAGATTTCCCAACTGGTAACCAAACATTTCAACCGCAATGTACACCGTACGCATGACGTTCGAGTCAGCAAAAACATCACCATTTAGGCCAGAGTGAGTTTCCTTCTTACTAACCTTGCCTGAATGTTTAATTACTCCCTTATAATCCGAACATTAATTGCACATAAAGGACCCATAAAAGTATGTTTACTTTAAGACATATTAACGTCATTTTCGGCTATCAAAAGTTACTACACTTGGAAGAAGGTACAGAGAAATCAGTTAAAATTATGATAATGCGGTATGTTTTATGCACGGATCGCTTTAGCATTGCCCTTCATCACTTCCTGATCTCGTTCTAAAATTGCTCATATTATTACCGGGACACTTTGGCCAAGTCAATTACATAGGTGTTGAGGCCATATTATGGGAGTGCAGCGTCTTCTGTAAACTAGCACTATTTTGTACATCATTTGTTTTAAACTTAACGGCATGGTTCTGGTATTCACATTTTTATAGACAATGCAATAGTATGAGTCGGTGCGACAAAGAGACACAGCATGCACATTCTTTTTTCTTGTACTGTAAAATTTTTTAAACTGCACCACACTTAAACCTGGCGCGACAATATCTTCACTAAAACTACAATACATCATCTCATCACCCCAGCATGAGCGAAAAATGAGCATGTAGCACCCAGATGGAGTGACATGAAGCGTAAATCCCCATCGCATATATCGTACTCTCGTTCCATGTACCTGCCTACAAACGAACGGACAGGCAAACAACTACGAGCAGGTTTTGGCGTCCACACATTTCACTGTCTCTTTAGCTACTAGCATCACCACTACATTCACTACCCGTGTTCATTCACTAAGTAAATTCACTAATAAGAACACAGTCCACTCAAACATGCCGAGTTCAACAGTGGTGCTGCTCATGTTGTTCGCCCTGCTCTGCCGAGTTTGTGGTTGCAATACGTCCACCAGCAGCACCTGTCGCATAGGTTTCACCATCCCCTTGCTGCTGTGTAGGGTAGATTGAGCTTCCGTACGAAGGCCATTGATGGATCATGTTTGAGTGCATAGGCACCATCCAAGGGTATTGCCAATACAACCCTTGTTGCTGTGCTGCAACCCCTCTATCCATTACATTTGTTGAATAATATGTGGCGCTCCTCGGGTGTGACATAGGAACGCGGATTTCCTGCCACTGTTGTCCCTCTTGCTGCTGCCCTGACTGCTGCAGCCAAATGTGCTGCTGCCCTGCGTTCTGCTGCCCTGTGTGCTGCTGCCCTGCGTTCTGCTGCCCTGTGTGCTGCTGCCCTGCGTTATGCTGCCCTGTGTGCTGCTGCCTTGCGTTCTGCTGCCCTGTGTGCTGCTGCCCTGCGTTCTGCTGCCCTGTGTGCTGCTGCCCTGCGTTCTGCTGCCCTGTGTGCTGCTGCCCTGCGTTCTGCTGCCCTGTGTGCTGCTGCCCTGCGTTATGCTGCCCTGTGTGCTGCTGCCTTGCGTTCTGCTGCCCTGTGTGCTGCTGCCCTGCGTTCTGCTGCCCTGTGTGCTGCTGCCCTGCGTTCTGCTGCCCTGTGTGCTGCTGCCCTGCGTTCTGCTGCCCTGTGTGCTGCTGCCCTGCGTTCTGCTGCCCTGAGTGCTGCTGCCCCACCTGCTGCTGCCCCAGCTGCTCTCTTGTCTGTTGCTGCCCTCTCGGTCGCTGTCCTCTTTGTTGCCGCGGTCTCTGTTGCACTCCTCCCAGTTGCTGACCTTCCTGATGCAGCCCTTCCTGCTGCCCTACCTGTCGAGTTCCTCGCCGCCGATTTCTATGTGATGGCCCTACATTCGTGTCTTGAGGTGAAGCTTCCCTTTCAGCTTCTTCCAAATCTGGTATTTGGCGTTGTAGACTAATGCGGGACACTTTCCTCAAACGGATCCGGACAATCTCTGCCGTATCTCTTGGGCCGACTGTGTTTGGCTGGTGCTGCTGCCGCTGTCCCAGCTGCTGCTCCGAGTGCTGCTGATGCTGTTGGGGCTGCTGCCGTCGCCCTTGTTGCCGCTGCCGCTGCTGCCTATCTCCCAGCGTCTGCTGCTCCCGTCCTTGCTGCTGCCCCTGCTGTTGCTGGTGCTGCTGTTCCTCCTGCCGCCCCTGCTGCCCCTGCTGCCCCTGCTGTTGCTGTTGCTGCTGTCCCTGCTGCTGCCGTCCCTGCTGCTGCCGTCCCCGCTGCTGCCGTCCCTGCTGCTGCTGCCCCAGCTGCTGCTGCCCCAGCTGCTGCTGCCCCTGCTGCTGCTGTCCCTGCTGCTGCTGTCCCTGCTGCTGCTGCCCCTGCTGTCCCTGCTGCTGCTGCCCCTGCTGCTCCTGCCCCTGCTGCTGCTGCCCCTGCTGTCCCTGCTGCTGCTGCCCCTGCTGCTCCTGCCCCTGCTGCTGCTGCTGCTGCTGTCCCTGCTGCTGCTGCCCCTGCTGCTGCTGCCCCTGCTGTCCCTGCTGCTGCTGCCCCTGCTGCTCCTGCCCCTGCTGCTGCTGCTGCTGCTGCTGTCCCTGCTGCTGCTGCCCCTGCTGCTGCTGGCGCTGCTGCTGCTGCCCCAGCTGCTGCTGCTGCTGCTGCTGCCCCTGCTGCTGCTGTCCCTGCTGCAGCTGTCCCTGCTGCTGCTGCCCCAGCTGCTGCTGCTGCTGCTGCCCCTGCTGCTGCTGTCCCTGCTGCAGCTGTCCCTGCTGCTGCTGCCCCTGCTGTCCCTGCTGCTGCTGCCCCTGCTGCTCCTGCCCCTGCTGCTGCTGCCCCTGCTGTCCCTGCTGCTGCTGCCCCTGCTGCTCCTGCCCCTGCTGCTGCTGCTGCTGCTGTCCCTGCTGTTGCTGCCCCTGCTGCTGCTGTCCCTGCTGCTGCTGTCCCTGCTGCTGCTGCTGCTGCTGCCCCTGCTGCTGCTGCCCCTGCTGCTGCTGCCCCTGCTGCTGCTGTCCCTGCTGCTGCTGCCCCTGCTGTCCCTGCTGCTGCTGCCCCTGCTGCTCCTGCCCCTGCTGCTGCTGTTGCTGCTGCCCCCCTCCCCGTTGCCGCTGCTGCCTCCCTCCATGTTGCTGCCGCCTCCCCCTCTGCGGCCGGTTTGACCGCCTCCCCCCTTGCCCTTGATGTTGTTCCCCCCCCCCTTCTGGTTCGGTTGCTTCCTCCCTCCCCATGGCTACATCTGCCTCCTCCCCATCCGACCCTTGCTGTTCATGGTTCTGCCGCCCTTGCCCCACTTCCACTTGCTCACCGTCAATTTCCTCGGACGCATCTGTCGAGTATGAATAATCTGTTTCTTCATTGGTTAAATCTCCTACTTCTGTCCCCGCGCCCCCCTCACCACCACCTGGGCCTTTCCTAGCACGAGCTTCCATCCTCCGTACAGCTTCACACCGAATACCTTCACGGTGGAGTGCCCCACAAGCGTCGCACTCTGCAACGCTCACTTCAGCCATAGCAATTGTAGATGTTTGCATCTCAACATGAGCTTGCGGTGTCTGTCTCTCTTCCCATGCCACTCTTTGACTAGCCCGCAGCTCACATGTACGTACGTTATGTCCTTTCTCCCCGCACTTGCCACACTTGCGCATTTTTTCACCATCCACCTCACCAGAGCTTCTAAGGCGTTTCGAAGGTGGACGTCCGGCCCTCTTAGGATACACAGGAGGTTGGATCGTCCTATCGCGAACCACCTCCGTAGGGTCGAGTGGCACGATAGGCGTACTGTACACCTTTTTAAGAGATTCCACTCTGTAGTAGCGTTTTATCACCCTATGAGCTTTCTCTGGCGTGCCACTGTAAACTGCAAAAATGTGGACACACGGAAGTCCATATTCCCTACACACAGGTGGGATGTAAAGGGGCACAAGAGGAAGCATTGGGGTGAAATGGTCATTTCATACATTGTATTCAACAGTATGCAACAAGGAGAGAAGCAACAGAAGCAGCAGGGGGAGTGGGGGCCCATGGACAGCATTAGCCCAGCCCAGGAACATCAGTAGCAGCACAGACAGCAAGGACAACCACAGCTGGAGCAGCAGTAGGGGGGGGGGGGGGGGGGGGGGGTGACTTCGGGTGCATCAGCAGCAGAGGGAGTGGGGGAAGTAGGGAGTAGCAGAAGGTGCAGCTGAAGCAAGGTAAAGGAAAGAGAGGCAGCCGTAGACGCAGAGGGAAATGATTGAGCCACAAAAGGCGCTGGGAGGTAAGCAGGAGGTGGGGGTGGTAGCATGGTCAGCAGAAGGGACAGCAGCAATAAATTGAGCAAGCACACAATCCACACCTTGTGTACCCGCAGGAGCATGAGCTTGACTCCGGGTTGTTGACATCCGTGGTGACCCGGCGTGTCTCCCTTCCAGTCCTTCGAGTCACCTTATAAGTTTGCTCCACCCTTGACCCTCCGGGCTGCGTGATAGCAATCTCTCCGGTTTGCTCTGCCGTGTAGGACATACCACACCTAGCATTCTCACGAATGATACGGACAATGTTGGCGGGCAACTGCTCATCCGCCATCTCCTCGTACTCTTTATTCCGCTTGAATGTAGAAACTGCTTCTCTACCTATCACAGCCAGCAGCACCTGCGCGGGACTCTTCCTCCTCAACCCTTTTAGGGTAGCATTCATAGACTCGACTGGGTTTGACGAGTAACAGCCAAAACGTGCAGCCCCAAATCTAGTGGTGGCCCATTTTGCAGACAGCCCTTCCTTTGTCAAGTATTCAACCCCCCCTGGACACTCCTTTTCTATCTTCTCCAAAAACTGCGCAAACACTTCAGTAGTCAAGGCACTTGCGGCAGACTCAATCTTCCCATCCAGGGTCGACCCGAACTTCGAATTGAAGTTACGAACCAAGTGAGTAACACAGAAGGCTTCCCTTGTGTTCGGGAAAACCTCGCGTGCGGCAGCTGCCCATCGCTTTCCCCGATCATGCATGACAATAAAATCTGGAGTGTTTAACTCAGGCACGGCTTCCAATAACAGTTTAAAAATGAAGCTGCAAGCTGCTGTCGTCTCTCCCTCAACCCATGCCATCCCCAAGTTCACAATCTTGTGCTCACAATCAAGCGCACACAAATTCAGAGTCTGGCCACGCCACCTCGTCTTGTTGTGACAACCATCAGCAAACACAATTGGCAGACAATTCAACACTGCTGAGCGAGCACCAGGGAAAACCAAGCCAGCACGGAAAAATTTATCTCCGTCCTTCTCCATTGACACACGCGCTGAGGGGTTCAACTCTTTGAACATGGACAACAGACTCTCAAAATATTCAAACCCCGCATCCCCAGCCAGAACATCTTCCTCCGCCAACTGGGCCAAAGCACGATGTGCGGTGTTGTAAGAACATGACACGCCCAAAACCTCCTTCACCTTATCCTTCAAGTCAAGAGGCTTCATAGTGCCATGCGTGACAAATACACGAGCAATGTCTTTGACCTCTTCTATGGTGATCCTTGCAGGACACACGGCACAAAGATCCGCATGCTCAAGATGAACCTCCCTAATCTCCATCATCCCCTTCCTAGGCCCCCGCGCATAAATACGAAAAGGACAAAACCCCTCAGGAGCTGCCACTCCTTGAGCAGGCCATGAAACTCCCTTCATAGCCCAACAACGCACATCCACACAAGTAGCTCTATTATAACGAAAAAAAGGTTCGAACCTTTGCTGTCGGGCATACTTTCGAATATCCTTACGCGCCTCCACGACGTTGCGAAAAACACGTCCCTTTGAAAGGTTGACCTCACCCTCATTCTGCAATAACACACTGTCAGCATAGTACATGGAAACAAAGAGAATATATGGTTGAGATCTAAGTACATGATTGCACCAAGTAAAGGGAACAAATAGAAGAAACAGTTGATGCATTGGCTGCATGGCGCAGCCCGTGTGAAGCGCCATGCCAATGCATGGCACAATCGTGGCTGCACCATGCATGGGCTGCATGGCGCATGAGAAGATTTGAACAAGAATGAATGAACTATGAAATGAAGTGAGTACAAATATGAAACCCTAATTGGTTGTACCCCCTATGGGATACCCCACTATAGCCTACACAACAGCATAAGCTATAATGTTCTGACACACCCCCATAGGCAAAGTGGGGGAGAACAAGGGGTCACAAGACCAGTCAAGCAAAGTAAAGCAAAGCAAGCTCAGGGTGGATCACAAAGTCACCACACAGTCCGAGCACAGGGTCAAGGCCACACGGCCAGTTCACATGCAAGAGTACACACATATATATAAAGCTAGACAAGCAAGAGCAGGTATATATATATGTGAGAGTACAGGCAAGGTCAAGAGGAGAGCAAGTGAGGCAAGACGGGCACAAGACCCAGCTGAGTGCAGAAGCGCTGATGATCACAAGGCGGAAGTGCCTTGGTGAAGACATCAGCAGTGTTGGCCTCAGAGGCCACGTACGCAAGCCGCAACTGACCACGTTGCTGTAGCTCACGAGCAAGGAAGTAGCGGAGAGCAATGTGCTTTGTTCTGTGCTCCAGTCGCTGCTCTCGACACAAGGCCAGCATGGCCTTGTTGTCTACGTATAGGACTGGAGGAGAACGAGGCGGCTCTCCAAGGTCGGTCAGCAGGTAGGTGAGCCAGCGAAGCTCCTGTGCAGCCATGGCCCCGGCGTAGATCTCAGCCTCACAACTCGAGCCAAGAACAGAAGACGAGCGAGTAGCCCGCCACGAAACAGAGCCGGAACCAAGGCTGAAGGTGTAACCCTGTGACGACCGCTGCGTAGCCTGGTCGTCAGCCCAAGAAGCGTCCGCGTGCCCAGTGAGGACCACTGGACTCCGCCCTCCAAGCACTAGCCCCATGCCCGACGTACTGCACAAGTAGCGCAACACCCTCTTCGCTGCAGCCATGTGCTCTGGTCTGTGTCTCCCAGGAGCAACATAGCGTGCCAGAATGCTAAGAGGGTATGCAAGGTCAGGTCGTGTGCAGGTCATCAGGTACATGAGGCAGCCAACAAGCTCTGGGTACGGGCCACTCGACTCTACGGACTCATCCGAAGGCAGAGCTGAGAGCGAGTGGCGAGTAGAAAGAGGAGTGGCCTGAGGCGAGGAGTACGTGAAGCCGAAGCGCTGAAGGACCTGCTGCACCATGTGTGACTGAGTCAGGGTAATGGTGCGGCGTGCTCTGTCCCGGGTGATCTGCAAGCCAAGGTAGCTGCGCAGTTCACCTAGGTCTGTGCACGTGTGTCTCTTCTGCAGCTCGGACTTCACGTAGGCGAGTCCAGCAGTGTCAGCTGTGGCAAAGACCAAGTCGTCGACGTACACGAGGATGTAGAACGGCGGCAGAGAGGTGTCGGTGCGTAGAAACAGCGACGGGTCGGCAGTAGAAGGAGCAAACCCAAGAGCCGCAAGTGTAGTCCTCAGTGTGTCGTGCCACTCACGTGGCGCCTGGCGGAGACCGTAGACTGGACGCCGGAGACTCCACTGGGTACCAGAAGGGAAAGACCCAGTGAAGCCAGGTGGGCGACGCAGCCAGATCTCCTCGTGCAGGCTGCCCTGCAAGAAAGCTGTGCTGAAGTCAAGAGAGTGCAGCTCGTAGTCACGGTGAGCAGCAACGTGCAGCAGTACCCGAAGAGTGGTCATCTTCGGGGTGGGGGAGAAGGTCTGAAAGTAGTCAACTCCCTGCCGCTGACTGAAGCCACGAGCCACGTAACGCGCCTTGAAGACAGGCGGAGAACCCGGCGGCCGCTTCACCCTGAAGATCCACATGCCACTGACGATGTTCGCCCCAGGAGGGGGGACAGCGTCAACGTAGGTGCCTGTGGACTTCCAGGAAGCCATCTCTGCATCCATAGCTGCCTGCCACTGAGAGGAGTAGGGACCCTCTATCGCCTCCGCGTAAGAGCGCGGAGTCGGGATGTCAAGTGCATCCGGGTCTCCCTCAGGGGTAAGCAGTACGGACACGAGATGAGGTGAGGCAGCTGCCAGACACTGGAACTCCTCCTGCCTGTCCTCAAGGACGTCCGTGCCAAGGGCACACTCACCCCCGACGGACGGAGGACAGACAGACTCAGACTCAGCGACAAGACTAGCAGCGTAGTCTAAGCGACAGCGAGCAGCAAAGTCGACGAGCTCAGTAACTAGAGCAGACGCAGCAGTAGACTCGAAAGAAGGGTCAGTGACAACAGTAGCAAGGAGACGCGTGACAGTAGGACTGGCAGCACGAAGAGAGTCCGACTCCGGGTCGGCAAGAGCAGGAAGAGAGGACTCAGGAGGAGAAGGCAAAGGGGCACGCAGAGGAGCAGTGGACGGACGCAGAGACATCCGGTGCGTGCCAGGGACAGGAGGAGGACGCTGACGCGAACCGCGACCACTAGTGCGAGCAGCACGGACAGGCGACGTAGGG